GATATGCAATACTAATCTTCAATTTTATGATAATATTGTCTGTCCCCTTGAAAACAAAAAAGAAAACACACAAAATTACATGTTAAATAAAGTTTCCAGATCTTAAAATTCAAGTTAGCAAAATGTGATCTCAAAACTACCATAATTTATAGAAATACATTGAGTCTATAGGAATTAAGTTCAGACAAAAAATAAAATTAAAGTTAATAAGAATTTCAAGTTAAGAAAATTTGATTTACTGAGTCTCTTATAATAATAAAAATTATTACAACTTTTCATCAATTATAGCCAAACCTATTTTTCATTCATTGCACACTAAGACAGCTTAGGAAGTTAATTATATTTTTCAAAATAAACATTAAAAATTCTTTTAATTTAAATTTTCTAAATTTTTAATTTATTTAAAACTTGGTGTTTAAACACTAAGTTTTAAATGAATACTTGTACACAGTAAAAACAAATCATAAAACAAAAATTACAAATAAATGAGTAAAACTTTTAATATAAAAATTTCACTTTACAAAGAAACAAAAAAACTTCTAAAAATATTTTCATTTGCTTTACCTCAAACTTCTTCAAATTTTCATAAAATTTGTTTTCTGCTGTTTATTTTATTCTTGTTAAGAGTTTATATTAAAAAAGTTAAAATTTTCATTAATAAAATCAATTATTTGTGATCTAAATTTATGATTTATATTCAAAAATAGTTTCACTTGTGAAATATGAGGAAATAAAATTAATAAATTCATAATTAGCAAAATAACAGTTAATATGAGCAACAATATGAAACTGCTGCAGAATAATTTTTTTTATATTTAAATAAAGCACACTTTATTTATATAGTATGTGCCAGAAATAGTATAAGTTAAGCAAGATTCTTCAGCATTAAAAAGTATAATGTTTAGTAAGACTTTGCATTTCAGTTTCATGTAATAGATGTAGTATACTTTTAAGATACTATACATACTATACATTTAAGATACTATGAAACGTTATAAGATCATGAAATATAATTAGGAAAAAAATCATTTCACAGTTTAGTTTTTTTTTCTTGCTTAAAATAATAAAAAAGACATTAGATTCAGGGAGTTTTAATGTTTTTCATATTTAGTATTTCTGCTTGTATCAACAATAGTCATTTGTTTTTATTAAATTTAATTGCTGGAAAATCGCGATAAAGTGTGTTTAGTATCTTTATTTCTGCTTGTATTATAAAATTGTTTGTCATACAAAACATAAAACTTATGGAATTTTAAATATATTAAATATATTTATAAAATATTCTTTACTGATTATTTTAATGATCAAAACATAATCATTTATTAATTTAATTGAATAAGAATTACAGATTTTTTAAAAAATTTTTGCAAAAATTATAAATATGCAATAGACTTTAATAGATACAATGATAAATACATTATTTAAATTTAAACTGTTTATATTAAAAATTTATAAATGGAATAAAATAAATTTCAGATACATCCATAACTGATTGTCTTATAAAAAAGACATCCTTTACAAAGGATAAAAATTATTTATTTATTTCATTTCTTTATTTAGCATACTTTTGAAGTTTGTTTATATTATAGAAGATTGAAATGAGAAAGCATCTTTTAAATTTTATATTTTGATGCTGAATCATTTTACTATGGCTTGTATTATTATTTTTGGTCCTATGTGATATAAATTAAAATGAATTCATAAAAATTTATTTAATGTAATAATAGAAATTTTAAGTGTAGAAAAAATAGTAAAAACTTTAAATCCCAAACATACTTTAAAAAATCTGCATTTTATTACCTTATTTGCAACAATTTTTATAATATTTAAGCAAAGAGTGAACTAAAATATCACTGACAATATTTAATTTCATAACTTCAGGCTTATTCACTTCATTATGTACTGTATATTCTATTTACTATTTAAATTTATCTGTCAATAACTAAGTTTCATTTCATGACTAAGTTTCAATTTCCAATTAAATAAAATATATCAAATTATTGATTTAAATGTGGTCATCTTTGGAATCAAAGTATTCATTTATTATTGATACATTAAATTTGGCAATGTCTTGTAGGAAATATTTGCTCCCCATTACTACAATCCCAATTAGTTTAAAAAACAATATGTGATAAAATCAAAGTGTAAAAAAATAAAAATAAAATAACAACAAAATTATAATATAAAAAAAGTTATTTGGAATATAGTATTTTAATATTCAGTCAAATAATCATTCTGTATTCTTGTTAAAATGGAAAATCACAATCTTATATTTGAATTATTTTAGCAATAATAAAAATAGAATAGCAGAAAAGATAGACAGACACAAACAGTTATTTTTGATATGACAGAGAAATTAATTTGGGAAAGTTGAAATTTGTAAAATAATTTCACATAACAATGCTTAACATAGTTTTTCATTAATTTTACTAGAGTGACCAATGTCAGAGAAAAACTTAATTATCTTTATCATCATTTTTCGTTATTTTTACATAATGTTGTTTATCTATTTATGATTATTAATACTATATAATACGAGGTAACAAACTAAAATTAATATTCAACTACTCCATTTAAACTTGTAGAAAACTAATTAATTATGTGATAATCTGGTCCTAATGTCATGATTATACTATTTGTGAAATTAAGATTTGAAAGCCAGTCATATGTAATGATATAGGTAATGTATAATTTATTAGTATAAAATATATAATCAATCTTTTTATATATTTAAAATAATAAATTATAACAAATAAATAAAAATGCTTTTTTATTTAATAATTCCTAATATCTTTAAAAACTACTTTGTATGAAATAGAATGAAAGAAAAAATTAAATGTATTGATATGATACTTTAATGCCAAACTTAAATTTGCAAATATATTTTTACTAGTTGCAGAATTTTAGAGTAATTTGGCTGGCATTTTCATTTTTTAAGACCTGTAAATATTTGATAAGTAAATGACTTCTTAAAATGAAAATGCCAGCCAAATCATGCTAAATTTTTGCACTTGTAAGAAACTTTCTACAAATTGATAAATTTCTGTTAAGTTCATTTGAATTTTGACTTAATTTGTCTTAAGAATGTACATACATTTTTAAATATCCAGTCACTAAAGATAATAAGTAATTTAAAACATATTGATGTATAAAGTTTATAAATTAAACTTAAATTCAAAAATAAATTTATTTCATTTTTCAACTTTTATCAATTGTATTAGCAAACTTTTATCAATTTAAAAATAGAATTAAAATTACTTTGTAATTTATTTGTTTTTAGCTGTAATTTAATTTATAACAGCACTACTTATAGTAATGGAAATATTCTGAACTGTGAAAAGTAATATGGGAAAAGAATATTGCATTTCCATTTACATTGCTTTTATTAAGCAATGATTGTAAACATAATTATTAACTAACAAACTGTAATGTAATATTTGAAGACCATTATGATTATATATTGATAATGTGATTAAAAATCTTTAGAATTTAACATTAGATAAATTTTAAAGAAGCAAACAAAATGTTTTATTTAGAGTCAGTATTTAGAGAATTACCAATACCTATATATATATATAAAAACAGTCTTTTTTTAAAGCAGTTTTCAGTTTTATTGTAGAGTATCTGTTACATTATAGTTTGTTTATTCTTTTTTCAAAAAATTCAATTATTAATTTTATTATTTACAAGCATTATTTGGCTATTAATAGCGTATATGTTATCGGTTATTAATATTTATATTTTGTATTTTGAACTTGTTGTTCTATTTTTGAAATGTTCGAATTAACCTGATGATGATCCATTGATTGGATTGAAAACATTTGTTTGAAGAATAAATCTCTCAGCGAGTGATCAGGTGTTAATTTAGTTATTCATTATGAAGTTTTTCATAATATCTGATACTTTCTATGCACTTTTCATTTTTTTTCTATATATTACATTCAAATCATCATAGAAAAACTCAGCATGTTTTATTAAAATAAATATTTACAAAATATATCCAATTTTAAAACAGTTCAAAAGTTTATATATTTTTAATTATTCATAAATTTAAAGTTTTATTATTATTTTTCTAGTTTTAAAACCAAACTTTCAATAAGATAAAAATTTTCTTAATTAAAAATTATTAATTTACATCTCATTATACATTTGAAGACTAAATAAAAAAAAAAGTGATTTTAATATTATATATATATATAT